ATATATATATATATATATATATATATATGTAATAGAGGGGCCCCCTACAAACTCAGGGGGCCCCCCTATATATAATACTGTAAAGAGCGCTGCTACTGTAAAGATATTGTAATGAAGCCGCTTGTTAATCTCTCGAGAGTAAACAATAAAAGTAAAATAAAATAAAGTAAAAATAATAAAATAATATTAAACAGATAATAATAACAAATTTACATCAAAATGCAGAGGGAGGCGTAAATATAAATACTATAAAATAACACATCCTTTTAAGACTTTTGTTTGTTAATATATTTTATTATACAGAGTATTCAATAAGAATATATAAATAAACAAATAAATAAACAAATAAATATAGATATATATGTATATATATATGTATATATATACTGCATGCAAGGCGGTGTATATAGGGTATTTATTATGTAAGGAGAGGGGGGCCCCCGTTTGGGGCCCCCCCCCGCACTTCTTGTGTGTTGGGGGCCCCCTGTTGTTGTTGAATATTCATTTAGTATATATATAATTTAATTATCTTTAAACTGCATGCATTTAAACTTTAATTTTTCTTTTTAACTGATCTTTAGGGGGCCCCTAAAGCCCCAGGGGGCCTCCTCCTTAAGAGGGGCCCCCTCAAGACTTATATCAATTCTTTATTTATTTATAGGGGCCCCTACCGATGGCTGGGGGGCCTCTATCTATAGATTGCCTCAATAGGGGCCCCCCTATACCCTTTGAGGGGGCCCCCTTAATAACAAACGAGATTCCTGTCTCTTGCATCACCTCAAACCCTCTTAAGGGGGCCCCCCCCTCTCTCTCTACTCTGCATAAGGGGGGCCCCCAGGGGCCCTCACTCTCTTCTACTTCCTTTCAGCTTCCTCTTTGCGACTATGTAGGCCCAGCCTTCACCAGAGACCGTTGCAGCAACCTAGGGGCCCTCTTCCTTCCGTTACCTCATGCTGGGGGGCCCCCTGGGGGGCCCCCAGGGGGGCCCCCTGGGAAGCCCCAAGGGGGGCCCCCGGGGGGCCCCCTAAATGTAAGGGGGCCCCCTGAAGAGCCTTTGCAATTCCTTCCTCTATCCTTGGTTGCTGCAGCACTACCTGAAGTGCTGCTGGAAGTTGAGTTTGTTGGGGCGCAGCTGCAGCCAGACCCTGAGGCAGCAGCAGCAGCAGCAGCAGCAGCAGCAGCAAATGGCAGCAGCAGCAACAGCAGAAGCAGCAGCAAGGGAGCCTTTGACGCTCCTATGAAAGCTGACAGCAGCACCAACAGAGAGAGGGGGCCACTGCAGCAAGCTATACTAAAGAGGGGCCCCCAGAGGGGAGATGGGGCCTTAGCAAGGCGTAGACGGCTTGAGGGGCCCCCCCTGCAGCAGCAGAAGCAGCAGCAGCAGCAGCAGCCGCAGCAAGTACAGCAGGAAGAGCAGAGGCTGCTGCTGCAGCGCATGCGTTTCTCTCCTTCAGGGGGCCCCCAAACACCGCGACAGCGAGAGGGGGGGGCCCCCCCGCAGCAGCCGCCTCGTGGGGGCATCACGAGCGATCTGCTGCTGCTGCGGTTTGCTGCAGCAATCCAGAGCAACAGCGACAGCAACAGCAGCAGCAGCAGCAGCAGCCGTGTTAGGGTTGAATGGACTGAAGTGCTGCGTCCCCTGCCTGTAGAAGCAGCGCAGCAGGGGGCCCCCCTTGGGGCTTTGTCTCCCCGCACACGGGGGCCCCTTAGCCCTCTCACCACCCAGCTGCAGCAGCAGCGGCAGCAGCAGCAGCAGCAGCAGCAGCGGGTGCGCTTCGTCTTCGTAGGAGTCTCAGGGCTGCTGCTGCTTGGCGGATCCGAGGACCCCACACCATCTATTGCTGCTGATGCTGCTTCTGCTGCTGCTCTTGCTGCCTTCCCTCCCTGCAGCGCTGCGGTGTATGCGAAGCTCGCCGCACTAAGCAGCAGCAGCAGCAGCAGCAGCAGCAGCAGCAAGAGCTTGCTGCAGCTGCTGCCAGCACCTTTCCGAGAAGCTGCCGCTGCCCTTGCGATCAGCGGGGGTGTCTCAGCAGCAGCAGCAGCAGCAGCAACACCAGCAGCAGCAGCAGCAGCAGGAGCACCAGGGGCAGAAGAAGCAGCGGGATCAGCAGCAGCAGAAGCAGCAGCAGCGACAACGGCATCTGCAGATAGAGGAGAGACAGCAGCAGCAGCAGGTGTAGATGGAGCAGCAAGAGAAACAGCAGCAGCAGCAGCAGCAGAAGAAGAAGGAACAGCAGCAGCAGCAACAGCACCAGCAGCAGCAGAAGCAAAAGGCAGTGCTGCTGCTGCTTCTGCACAAATCAACATCAGGGGGCCCCTCAAAATGAGTCGGCTGTTGGGGACGAGGAGACGGAGCGAGGTTGCTGCTGCTGCTGCTGCTGCTCGTTCCCTGCGCTTGCTGCTGCTGCGGCAGCGGCAGCAGCAGCAGCAGGAGCAGAAGCAGCAGCAGGAGCACAAGGGCTCCGGCATGCGGCTAGCAGCGGAGCAGCAGCAGCAGCAG